CTCAAAATCCGATTTTGGCCAATCAGCATCAGTAATATTCAACATTTCATATACATCTTCTGCAGAACCCCTCTGATCATCTTCACCACAGCTTGGAATAAACGGGGGATTGCAATCACTAAACGAGTTGCTTGGGTCCGAGAGAATATAACCTCGAGGACATTCGCAAATTGGCGTTCCATTGTCAAGTCTGCAGACACTGTTATACCCACAAGCCCCACTGCCTTTATCTCCATCGATGTTTGTACATATGTTTAGTGGCCAATATTCAGCAACAGTCCACCCTGGATCTCCACTGAAACTCTTTGGATAATAATATTGTCTGAAAACTCCATCAAAATCTAGAGTTGCCCTAAAATAATGATCCGAAGTCGTCGGAATTGAGCGCTTCGTCGTTAGGGCATTTTGTTCTCCATTTCTCCTCAATACATAAAGCCTTCCCCTTTCACTGAAGACCAATTGATAACCAGAATTCGATGCATTTGCAGGATCAGAAGTTTGACTGTTGTAATACTCATCATCAAAATCCGAATTCATCGGCACACTTCGAGTATTAAGCACTAAATTCCCACCGCTAAGCATGCGAAGATAAAATCTGCCTCGAGTGAAATTCGTTTCAGACTTTCGCGAAACAAGCGTACCATTAATCGCAATTATTTGCGTTGGCAGCACTGTATCACTTGGATCTTTGAAACTTTCCCATATCGAAACAGAATCACTGCGCACTAAAACAAAATTTCCTGTATCGTTCATAAAACCATGGGAAACATCACCAACAATATTCCCAGTACTCCATAGAAGGCGGCCTTGAGGATCACGAAGCACCAGCCCACTTTGTGCATCAATCTCCACCCTGGAATCCCGTGAAATGGGATTTGTAACGTTTGGATACCATACTACGGTTTTACCTGGTATTTTATCATACCATATAGCAAGTTGAAACATATCACTGTTTTGAAGTTTCTGAAACCCAAATGCGAAATCTCCAGAAGGTGAAAGCCATGGAGCGGACCTCTCTGTTGCAACGAGAGAGGTGCCCACACTTATGTTACCACTGTTTTGAGAAAAAGTGCAGAGTGGGAGGAGAAATATTATCAAGAAGATAAAGATGAAGTTGAAGAGAGCATAAGCCATTGTTACTTGTTAAGAGCAAATTTGACACATAAAAATATGAAAAGAAATTCCATAGTATAAACTATAAAGGAATGGGAGATGATTGTTTCTTGATTCAAGAGATTCGAGTCAACTCATACTTTTCAAGGTGTGCTTTAAATTTTGTCCCTACGCGGAAAACTTTTCAAGACCTGTATATCTACCGTACGTCTTGGACCTTGTTTGATACCCGTTTTCTATAAAATTATAATTTATTATGTGGCAAAATGGAAATCATGATACGTACCAAATATGATTGTTGAATTTTCAAGGGAAAATGAGAATTTTCAAGTCCACATGATTAGATTGCGTACAATTATAGTTGGACCAATTCAACTTATTTCCTCAACAGTTAAACAAAAGGGAAATTTGGCCAAATAACCCACCTGAACAATGATTTTGGAGAAATGGCCT